CAAAAGTAAATCTTGTTGATTTGGATGGAACAGCTGACTTGGGTTTTACTGTTTGTTTTCTGATCCTGTTGATGAATTTAATGTCAGCCATGGCAAACTACTCCAACGTCTTCTTGCCTCTCCTCATTACATCCTATATGTATACACAGAGTAAAAATTTCAAAATATAAACTATGATTGTGGTACCTCTTAATGGGATATCTCATAGTGTTTGGAATGCAGTATTCAAATTAAGATTCCCCTTTTGTATTTGGGGAAAAAGCAGTGGGGGGCACAAACAGAGGTTTCTGTAGGGTAAACAAGTTTGTGGACAAGGTTATATTTCTATTATGATTTCTGTTCTAGAAAAATGTAAAGCCTTACTTAAAGGAATTGAGGTGTATAACTGCTTGAGAGGTGCTCAGAAATTTTATAAGTTAAAATTTTTGGATGAGTGCCTCGCCTAAAGCATTTGGAAGTTGTGAGTGGCTTAAGAGTGTGTGTATGAAACTATATTTTGGGTCTTTTTTCTGTTTCTTTTATTGCCAAAACATAGAAGCTTTCATGCATGAGTCACATAAAACATAATTTCAGATTCCTGTTTATTACAGGGATTAGAAGCCTTCTATGAAAGGGAAGATTTTTGTGTGGTTTCACTTGAATTTAAGGTTTAAGAAAAAAATCATGCCAAATATCCCAAGACTCACAAATGTTGGTCTACAGCACATGACAGCCTTTCTCCAGAAACCAGTCAACGTGGTATTTCTATCACTTTCCATGATTTATTCAGTCTGATATGGATCTTTCAGTCTTATTTGACACTTAGATCTGAAAACTTCCCATTGAACTTGCAGTGGCACCAAACTGTTGAGACCGCTTGGTTCTTTTTGGCATATGTAGGGCTTTTAAGAGAAAAAATTGTCAAAAAAAGAAATAAAAAGAATTAAGCTTGGGGTGATGGTAGCAGGTTGCTTGAAGTGGAGGAAGGCATTGATTATTTTTTATTCTTTTTTAAATTTTAAAAATTTTTCTAATTAGCCTTAGGTCTTTTAACAGGTGCTATACTCTAATCCAGCAGTTTTTACTGTCTGTGCTTGGAATCAGTGCTAAAAATCTTTTGCAGAAAGCCAGCCTTGCAGTAGCTTGTATCAGTGGGTCTCATGAGGTTGGCCGAGCACACCACCCACAGAAAGGGGTTTTCTTCTTCTTTGTGCAGAGACTAAGAACTGCTCTGTTTTCAGTTTGTGACTGGCATGGTTCCAGTGACTAAAGACTTGTTATCATAGTGAAATGTGATACAATTTGCCCTGTATGATTGATAAACATTAAAGGCCGGGGGGGGCGGGTATGTGCACGGAACCCGACTGATTATTGCTAGTTTTTAAAACTGCTTATCCAGTGAGATCAGGGGCCAGTTTTTCAGGTACTCAGGCATGCCTTAACTGAAGCATTATAGTTAGCTTTGCAAAGGAACGTAAAGGGTCTCAGCTGCACTACTCGGGAAGCTTTTTATCATAACCTAGAGTGGGATCAAAGCCAACTAATATGATGCCATGTAAATCTGAATACAGGATGAATGCAGGTGGATAAGAATTCATGTTGGATTGTCCTCTGAAGAGCTGGGAGGAGAATGTGCTTCAGTTAAGCCAGACATAGTGTTAAACTTAGCAAAACACAGCTTTGTGAACTGTGGAACCCTGTTGTATGATATAGGAAAAAAAGTGGTTAAGAGCCTGCCAGGGTAGGTTGGTATCTTGCATCTGATTGAAAACAAAGTGGGAGTGCAACCTTAGTTGCAGAAACTGCTCTACAGAATGATGGTATCTGGCAAGTATAGTAGCAGTGCAGCTTGCTGTGAGTTCTCACAGCCTGTGTGGACGCTCAGCCCTTGCAAACTGTTGTTCAGCTGGGGAGAACTGAAGTTCTGCTTCCACTAGTTTTATTAATTTGAACACTGTGAGACATCAGTGAAGCCTGCAGCTTGTTTTGTAAATGCTGTCCAACTATTCCTTTTAGATTTTTAAATTAATCTGATAGACAATATAATACTTCTTCCCTCAGCCTTCTTTAAACACAAAGACATGGTAAGATATCATTCCTATAACAGCTTTCTTACAGACTTGACTGACCTGAAGCAAGAAACTTGCCTGATTTCCAAGAAAAATCCTTGATGATTCCAGTTCTGAGCTGTCCAGGTTTTGTGGTTGCAACGTAAGCTTCTGTGCCTGTTGCCAGCTGTGCACATGCTACACAGTCAGCATCCAGGGCTTTGGATTAGCACTGTGGATGCTGACTGGTGTATCAGATGGTGTGAAAAGTTTCCACACGACAGTCAAAACAGATACCCATACCTGTTCTTAAGCCGAAGGAGTAGTGTTGTAGGTCCTCAACAAATTTAGGATTGTTATGTTTGTTGGTAGCCCAATAGTAAGTACTTTTTACTTCTGTGTAATTATAAAACTGTCATTTTCTAAATATAAATAAAGTTACAGATGGCAGGTTGTTTGAGATACTGTTATATCAACCTTGTGGAACAGAATCCCAATGAGATTCCTGAAGAAGATAAATACAGCAGCCAAACATAACCACATGCAGAAGGTTGTTGGGCATTGGGGTTGTTGGGGGAATAATCATTAACCTGGCTGCAGCTGCCTTCCACATCTGTAAGAATTGCTGTTATCTTTAGAGATGAAGTTTCTCTTTGACCAGTCCCAGTGCCAATATCTTGTTTTTACTCTCCTGGTTGAACTCTGTGGCCAAGTGTAATGACTCGTTTCGTGATTTTAGTGGTCATTAGATCAATACAATATCAGCATCCTGTCTGCCAGTAGTGTCACACTGCAAGGGCCTAAGGCAGACACACAAAAACCTAAAGGGTTGTGATGGTAGCTGCCTAATAAAGAGACCTGTCCAATAACAATATCTGCTTCTGTCTCTCACCTGGTTTGTCACTGGGGATGTTTCTAAGGCTTACATTAAATTCAAACTATTTATTACTTTTTCTCTGGCTTCGTTATATCCGTGGTGCTGTAACCCTGGGGCACTAAGAGGCTCTACTGTAGATACAGCTGACCTCCCCTCCTTGTTCCCCTGAGGTTTTTTGAAGGAGAGGTTTTTGTCTTTGACGGTTGGGATTGCCTTGGAAGTGAATAGTCCTCTGGTACCACAGCCTATGAAACAGAGGCAAAACAGCATTTTAAATTACTGCTTGTAAATGCAGTCTGGTTTGGATAAAGCAATGAGGGTCACGTACCACATGATTTCTAATTCACATATTCAAGATGGTTATGTAGAAATTATTTCACATTTATTCATGTGTTCTGTAGGACAGTGACTGAGCCTACATGGGATTCCTGACATAATTATACACTATCAGTGGTAAAATGTTATGAGTAAAAGTTAATTTATATCTTGTAAATTAAGTTGTATTGCAGCCTATGGACACCATAGATGCCCTGACTTTCCTTCCCAGAGCAGGGGCTGGTATAAAGGAAAAGGAAATGACTCAAATGGTTCCCTTCCTCTTGAGCTCAGCCTAACTAGTCAGAACAACATAGCAGTTCTGACTCCAACCAGCAGCTAACAGCAGCTTCCAGAAAGTTTAAAAGGTTTACTGTAAGAAACTTGACTTTGCAAACCTAGTACCTGACATTTCAGTGAGGAACGTTGTGCGTTTTGGGGGAAAGAGAATTTTGGTCAAAGGTCTGTTATAGAATTCCCATTTGAGGGGAACCTGAGGAAACAATCTCTTAAACCTGTTGCTTTTAGTTCCGAGTAGCATGTGAGAAGATTTTACGAGCAATACACATTTTTATTACAAATAGAAGACAAAATCCTGCAGAAAGAGTCATTGCACCAATTTGGGAACATGCTCCCTAAGTCTTGAACTGGAGCATACAAATTCCTCTGACACATTCCCAGCCTCCTCCCATGTCACTGCTGCAACATGTTACGTTTGGCAGGGTTCTGACAGCTTCCTCTAGAGTTTTCCTCCAGGGCTTGTGATGACTGCTGCCTTTCTCATTCCCTGAAAGGGGAAAGGAGGCTTTGAAGACTTGGAGTGGGAAGACAGGTATGGAGGGCAAGGCACACAGTTTGGTAGGAGTGGAGTAGGGTCCAAAAGTTCAATGGCTTGTCCTAATGGGATGGTTCTTTTGTTCTGTTTGGTTGGTGACTTGCCAAAAATGGTGTCCTAGAAATGTGCTAATGATAAGTAAACCAGCATGGCAAGCTTGTGAGTTTTAGCACAAGTGGTTGTTTTTTTTTCCTTTAAGTCTTCTGTTCCTGGAGTTCAGGCAATCTTTCTTTAAATAAACAAAATCCAACTTCTAGCCCTTGTGAAGAGAGTTCATGGATGTGATTCAAGTCTACACTGGCAGAAGGTGAGCGCCGCAGATACATGTTGGGCTGCCTCACTCTGCTGCTTTGCTGTGAATCAGGGCTGCAAGCAGCAATAGATTTTTTCTTCTGAGATACCTGGCTCTTGTCTATCTGTGTATTGATAGCCATAGACACAGATTTCTTGTGTGCTCTTGAATATAATGTCAATAGTTAGGACTACACGTTTTTGGTTTTGTGTTTTGTGGGTTTGGGGTTTTTTTGGTTTTGGGTTTTTTTTTTTGGTTTGTTTTTTTTTTTACTTTAAATGAATGTGATATGTGTTCTTGATTTAGTTTTTGGTTTTATGTTGGTATTTTTTTTCCCCCTTCCCTCTCCTACAAATTGTTCTGCTGACTTAAAGGTCAACTCAAAATGCACTTATTTTAAAGTGTTGTCATTTGAATGACACTTGATTCTGTGTTTTAGGGTGTGAGTTGTCATATTGGAAAGGAATATATTTTCATGGCCACCTTGTTCAAGAGGCCTGTAAAACAGGTTTGACTCGAAGTGACCATTTGAACTTCACAAAGTAGTTTAATCACACTGAAAAACTTGTTTCTTTTAATTAAAAATGCATACATAATCTACTTCCCTGATCCCTGATATTACAGCTTGTTCTTCCTTGTCTCTCTTTTAGGGGATGTTTTGTTTGTTCTTAAACACTGGATATGCTGGGTCAATGAACTGTTACTCCAGGAAGCAGAGCTGAGAGGACAAGCTGAGAAGACATCATTGTGATGGCAAGCAGGAATGCAACACTTTCCCAAAAGTCTTTCGTCTAGAGAAGCATGCACATACTCTACTGCAAGAAAGTAACATTTGGGGTTCTTAAGCCACTGACTGTAACGTGGTCCAGTTTTCTCAGTGCCTGCTGAAAAAGACTTCTCTTGTTCTATACCTTTAAAGTGGACTACAAGACTATCCTCCTCAGCAGGATTGAAGATCTTCCTGGACACTTTACCAGCCCCTACACACACGACAAGATGATTGACCTAAGCTTCCTAACAGAGGAGGAACAAGAGGCAATAATGAAGGTGCTGCAACGGGATGCAGAGCTTAAAAGAGCTGAAGAAGAGAGAGTCAGGTAAGGGATCTAGCACCACATGTTGTCCTGGGAAGACCTACACAGTTCATATACTGAGTTATTCAGAGCGCAGGAGTAGATAAAAACAGTTGTTGCTGGGTGCCCCATATTCCACAGTATTGGAGATTTTTACTCTGGACCAGGTTTAGTGTAGTCCCTGGATGAAATGCCTCTACCACACAAACAATTAATTACTGGCCAAAAGACTAACTGTTGATTTGGACCCTTACAATTCCCTAAGGGGCCAAGCAGACTTGGTACACATCTGGCTTGATACGCATCTGGCTTGGTTTCCTCAGAAAAGGATTCAGTTTGCAAGTATCAAAACCTCTGCAACCTGAACTAATGCATAAGTGGGGTGATTTGATTCAAAAAGAGCACTAGTGCCCCAAACAAACAAAAAAGTCAATATAGATGCAGTCAGCAATATGTCTGAATGATGAAGTTATATGTCAAACATGTAGAGCATTGGAGCTGCAGTCCAGAGGAGGTACCAACGGTATGCTCTATTGGCAAGAGAAGTCCTTGCAATCTCTGGCTAAAGCAGAAAATTGCTCCCTGTTTTCTTTGTGGTGTCACAGACAGAACAATGTGTTGCTATTGTGGAGTGTTTTCTGTTCTGGGAGGTTTTCCTAGAGCTACTTTTAGCATAACTGCCATGAATAGAGATGTATGCATGGAAAGCAGCATTGCCCAGATGACCTGACTTTAAGAAAGCCATCTACACAGGTACAAATAGCAGTGGAATAGTGGTTTCAGCTAACATTGATAGCTACCTGCTCAGGAATGAGAATTTCAGTAGTTGGGCTTTTTTTTCCAGTGTGAAGGAAAGTATCCATTATAGGGTACGCAAAATGACAAGTGGCCGAATAATGAAAAACGGAGCCTTAGATGTTGAAAGGTCAAAGTACTGTAACACAAACAGATGCTTACAGGTCTCTGCTGAGGCAGGATTTTCTCTCATTGATTCAGTAATCTCTCGGATTCTTTCTCATTGTGAAGTTCCTCATGAAGACATGTATTTCCTATTTACGTGGTTTGAAATTATTCCAACCGTGATGCATCTGTGATGCTTCTCTTCTGCTGAGAAACATTTTTTAACAAATGCTCTCTGTGTAGGCATACCCTGAAGCAAATGAAACAGCAGCCTGCTACTTGCCCCAAGAGCAGTGTTCATCTTGCTGCGTAGGCTTGTGCAGCCTTGGGGTTGTTTGGTCAGCGTGTGGTCAGCGCGTTGTTGAGTTATTCCTCTTGCTCCTTTAAGTGTAAGAGCAATAAAGGGCAAACCAGTAGCTTCTCGTTAAAAACGCTTCTCCTCTCGAGGCATTTGCTTCACTGAGGACTAAAGGTAAAATCATTACAGGCAATGTTCCCAATTGTTTTTTTCCCACTATCTTAATGCAACCTGAGGAGGAGATGTTTTCACCACATAGTTTTGTCTCCTGCTTCAAAAAGCAGAAAACTGACTTTGCTGTAACAGAATGGGCATTTTCTTTTCTTTACTGTAGATAGAAGAATATTGACTTCAGTTTTGGAATGGTACAACAGTGCCAGGTCTGAAAGTGCTCAGGGAAAGTAATTGTAGATGTGAGTTTGAAAACAGCATCTGGGGAAGGGAACTTTTCCTGGAACAGAAAATCAAAAAAGCTGCTCTCAGTAGTGGTCTGAAAAGGCTGTCAACAAGTATTTTGGTCTGTATAACTTCGCTTTTGCCATTTGTAATTCTAGTTCAGGAGGGTGTGGTAGAAAATGCAAGGGACTGCAGGTTGTAGCAGCCTGTAATCAGCATGTTTGTTTCTACAATAAAATGTCTCTTCTGGTTTCTGAATATTATAACTTCTGAGAAGCTGGAAGCTTACATCTGAAACTGATTTTTCTACATAGATGTGGCACATGGAGCTTGCTTCTTATATATTATATATTAAAACAGTACCTGAATTATATCTCCAGACAAGGAGATATAATATTTTAGTTTGAATTCTACAGCCTTGCACACCTGGAAGATTCCAAGAGCTGGGATTGAATGTCATAATACAAACATCACACCCTGACAAAGTGTTGTTTGTATATGTATATATTGGAAGTCTTTTAATGTGATCTTTTTCCCTCTAGAAGAAATTCTGAGGTTTGAAGGGTTCTAATAATCTGTTCCATCTATGGAGTCTGTGTGCTGTGTTCCTGGAGTGTGGACAAACTGGTAACGTGACAGAATCTTCTTTGAGCAACTTCCTAGTGGAATTTTACAAATCACCTGATGAAGTCCCATCTCTGTTAACAGCTTCTAGTATTGCTTATCTGTAGTAAACCTGTGCTGATTGGACTGGCCCATGCAGCCACCTTAGGCAGTCTGCTTTAATTCTTGGTTTGCTGAGTGCTGTAATAGGTGTTTGCCCCATCCTGCAGCTCCTCTTCTGTTGGTCTGAATTGGGCTGATAGTTATAGGAACAGCATCGTTTTGGGAACAGCATGCCTGCTTCCTACTTGACCTCTGCTGAGGTTTGTCCCAGAGGAAAGGGGATATTTATGTTTTCTTCTCATGGGCAAATGGGTGATGAAGAAATCTCAGATGACAAGAGGGTGTGATGCAAGGAAATCAAAAGACAGTGCATCCTTTTTTTTTTATTCCTAAGGCAAGAAGAGGCCTCTCTTTGCTTCATTACCCCAGGAGCTGCTGCCAGCCCCTGAATGGCAGTGTTGCTCAGGAGGGGAAAACCGGTGTAAAATGGAAAAGCTGATTGACAGCTTGTCATGACTAGAAGCTGGTTTTCAGCTTATTGCTGACTGATTTATTTTTGGGGTTTTTTTTGTCCTTATTCCTGCCCAGGAATCTCTGATATACCCTGCTCCAGCTGGGTTTTGGGTATTGAACAAATGAGAGGGCTAAGCACATTACTGAATTTCCTGGCAGTAGCTTCAGCATAGCCCCTAACTCTTCTTTACAATTGTGTAGTTCAGAATTAACACAGTTTTGGGCCCTTTCTGGAGACAGTAACGTGGAACAGAAATGTATCTGTCTGTGAAGTTCTGGGTTGTGGTTGGGTGACTCTTATGTGGTGGAGTGGCTGGCCCCTGGCACCAGCGTGTCTGAGGCAGAAAGCTGTTGTGGTCGCCCTTGCAAGAGGGTTCCCTGCTGTGGCTATCGGCCTTCCCAGCAGAACCTCCTGGCAGTGCTGTTGCGGGCTGTGCTTCGGATTGTTTGCTCATTGTGTAAACTGAAGGAGGCTAATGATAGGGGAAATTCTGGTGTGGAGTTGTTTGTGTGGTGGGTGGTGACTGCTGTGCACCAAACCCCTTTAATACATACATTGGTGTGGCATTGCGAAAAAGAGAGAAAGCTTCAGGGGTCTGATTCTGCTGGGTGCTACATACGCTTAACCTGTCTCATGATGTTCAGTGGGACTGCATGGCTGTTGAAACCCTAGTGTAAATGTGTGGGGTTTTTTATTTTTTTATTTAAATTCTGGTCAGCTTTAACAGATATCTTCTTCAGTCACTTTTTAAGGCAATTTTCCTTATATTGTAGACTGTCAGAAGGAAGGGGGTTTTTGTGTGTTGTTTTTGTGGGTTTTTTTTCCCTTTAGGATGGGATATATTTAAGGTATTGGGGTGAGCTGAATATTGGCATTGGGGGAACCGGACTTAACTTCTGTAGTGTGAAAATGGCATTCAATTACTGTCACCAGAATACATTCTTAAAATCTTCATAAAATACTTTTCTGTTAGATGTAGCAGTTTTGAGGGTGTGCTTACCAGAGGCAAGGTTCTTGGTGCAGATAGTTTTGAACCTGGGTGCCAGTTCAAGTTTAAAGGCTGATTGAAGACAGAAGAGTTTAGACATGCTGTCTTAGAGGTGCTGTCAAAGCTAACCTTCTCATTTCTGAAAAGAATTACCCATTTTTTTCTACTCTGTCTCCAGGGTATTTCTTCCAAATGTTCTAGAAATTTTTAAAATGTGTCCTCAGTATTCACTCAAATGATTGTGGCAGATTGGTAGTGCCTGCATAGTGAGGTAACTAGGGACCAATTATAACTTTATAATTTTGAAGTATCACTCTCATTGCCATACAATACCTAGGGACTCTTTCTAAAGCTCAATCTCTGCAAAAATGTTCATTTTACCAGTTCTCCACCCCTTTTCTTATAAGCTCCTTAATATGTCATTTGCACTACTTCATGATAAAAGTTTGGGCATCTGTAAATGAATGGAAGAGTAACATGTGGAGGAGTTGTGGCTTACAGGCAAGGCAAGAACATAGTATGTTTGTATGTGCTCTACATTGTCCTGACCAGTAAACAGAATGGCACTTTGTATGTCTAACTGAGGTCTCTTAGGCTGGCCATCATCCCTTCTGATCCACACTGAATTTTTTTTGAAAGCTTGCTCTGGATGAGGGATGCCACAAATAACAATAACTTTCTCTAAATTTAGAGCTAAGGCTATGTTAAGATCCTGTCTGAGCAACATGGTTCTGAGGTTCTTCTCAGGGTACTGATGTTATCCTTAAGCCTTGGTAGATTTAAATTAGTCTAGTAATAAGCAATTGTGGCTAATAAGAAAATAAAGCCTACAGTTCTTGTGGAGCTTATTTTAAAAACAGATTTAAAAAAACTAAACTCACTTTGAGGCATATTTAATTCTTGTATTTTTAGGTCATACATTTGTGTCAACAAGGAGCTTGCTTACAATGTATGCAAAGGTTTTTAATCTGAAATTAACTCTACCCTTGGCATTAAAAAAAAAATCTCCGTAGGTTGATTTTATTTTAAGAGACTAAGAATTAGGTGGCTTGAACTCTTTAGCTGAAAATTCAAACTGAGAGGTCTTAGTATCTCCTTTTGTCAAACAGAATCTGCTCTCACAATCTGCTCAGACATATTATAGGGGAAATAGAAATTAATTGTTATTAATTGAAACTCATGCTATTTTTATAACTAGTTCTGAAGTCATATACCCATGTCTAGTGGTCGTACCCAGGACTTCTGATTAACTTTTAACAGGC